TAGGATGGTTAACTCCATAAATCACAATGATTTATAGGTTTTTGGTGCTATTTTTTACACAACTCAATCCTAAAACTAAGAAGAAAAGAATTTGATTCTAATATTCACGATCACCTCATTGTAAGAAATATCTTATTATTCTTCTTACATTCTTATAAGGGGTAATTGACATAAAACATCCCTACCTTTCATGTCTATTTTGGAAAACGTTCATACCTTTCATTTTTTGACATTTTTGCCCATATTTTCACCTTTCTTGGCGCTGAACGTTCTTTTCATCAATTCTGAACAATTTTACCCTCCATTCTAATAAAACAAAAAGAAAAGAAAGGAAACAACAAATAAATAATTGCAACCACAGCCCTCAATTTGTGAAAAATTACAAATCAGTCACAAATATATACAAAATTTTCAACATATGTGCCAACAACCATGGAACCCAATTTTCGGCACCAAGGCCACTGGATTTTAATACCATCACCATCTTTTCATCAACCCTAACATCCCCACGCAAATTTCAACCCCAAATCCCAACAAAATCGAGCCGAATTTTACCCTGAAACCTCCTCTCACGCACGGTACTATTGCAAATTTGACCAAATCCATGGATGCCCATGTTCCATACAACCCACAGGTTGCTCAAGCTCACCAAGAAGCATCCATACATGTTCCAATTACAGCAAACAACATCTACAGTCAATTTTTGAGTCAGAGAACTCGCGACCGACAAAGCCATTTTCCGGCGACGGTGGTAGGACCCATGATCGCCGACCACCACCACAGGACACTACTCATCATGGCGCATCCACTAAGCATATGGGTCTTCCCCAATTTGGTGTTGAAATGATTGTTCGTCCAGAAATAGTGAACACGCATAGATTTGGTTCGATCTCCTTTCAATTAGCATCCCTTCACAACTCCAATCTACGAATTGCATCAATTAGCATGCAATTGAAGGTCAAACGAAGCTGGATATGGATTTAATTGCATCAATTCATCAACCAAATGCAACAATTTTGGATTTGACCTCACGAAGTGCTACCGCGCGAAGAGGATAATTCCACATCAATTCGTAAGTCTAATGTGTCCAAACATATGAATCAACTTGGGGAAACTCAAATTCAGACCCAAAAAACACTGGGTGATTGTTCAATTTAGAAATTACAGCACTCGTTTGCCAAATTTTGGAGTCAAATGGTGTTCTTCACACACTTGAACAAGAAGGAACAAAAGTTGGATGCCATTTGTAATTTTTTAAAAATTGGGGACTGTGGTTGCAAATAGTTATTTATTGATTCCTTTCTTTTCTTTTTGTTTTATTTGAATGAAGGGTAAAATTGTCCAAAATTAATAAAAAGGACGTTCAGTGTCAAGAAAAGTGAAAATAGGGGCAAAATAAAAGGTATGGACGTTTTGTGTCAATTACGCTTCTTATAAGTGTTGTGGTCATGCAGAGATCGGACATCCTGTTCATCCTTTTTTCCTTTATAAGGTGAGCTTCAATGCTCCTAGTCAGCCCTTTTTTAGCATCACTTTATTTTTTTTTTTTTTTATTTTAGTCACTTCTTTTAATGTTTATCATTTTTTTTATTCTTTCACTCTTTTTAATATGTGTAACTTTTTTTAATTTGTGTCATTTTTTTGAAATTTTGTTGCTTCTTTTAGTATTTGTCACTTTTTTGAATTTTTGTCACACTTTTAGTGTTTATCACATTTTTTAGTTATTTTCTTGATTTCTATCACTTTTTTGAATGACAAACATCACTGTTTAATAAAAGTGATATTGTATGTCATTTTTTTAAAATAAAAAATGACGCTTAACTTTTGAAAGTGACATTGTGCCGCTTTTTAATATTACACAATATTTTTTATTTACAAAATTTTATTTATATGATTTTTCGAAAGACCCTTAATTTTAACGGTGTTTTTGTAAGTCGCCCCATTGCAATTTACCGAAGAATCAACTCGTAATTAGATTTAAATTCTAACATGTAAGACATGCCTGATTTTGTAGTGGAGCGGCAGAATTTTTATTAAATATTAAATAATTATAATTTTTTTTTTTTAAAGAAAAGAGTCATAACCCCCGTTATATACAGATTTTTATCTAAATTAAAGTTAATAATTAATTTTGATTACAAATTTTATAGAGTCCATAATTTTTCAGCTATACATTTCATCAAATTTATTATCATAATCTACTAAAAATTTGATTTTAATAAGGGCAGAATTTTATTCTGTGAAATTTAAAAATCCAATCAGTTTCAACTTGATTATTGGTCTGTTTGGCATTGCTTTTAAGAAGTCAAAACGAGTTTTTTAAGATTCAAAAGTTGCTTATGGACCTGTTTGATTAATTGTATGAAAGTTCTTTTTTAATAAGAAGATTTTTTGTAAGAAGGTGATTTGATTTGACTTTTTCTAAAAGTACTTTGGAAATAAAACTCTTTTAAAAATTAAATTTTAAATAATAATTAAGATGATCTCCTCAAAAAACTCTTTTACAGGATGTAATGATAAAAATAAAAGCTATGCAAAACCAACCTTGCATAACATCATCTCATATAGTAACTTATTTTTCTTGTGTCCCGATACATCTCCATTTAATCAAATTAATGATTTGTCTGCAATGGCTAGTAGAAATCTGAAGTGACATATAAAAAATAATTATGTCTTAATTATTTGTTTAACGTTATATTAAAAAAATGAAAATGAAAATTAATAGAAAGGAAAAACATCGAGTTGATTAAATCGATGGTCACTAAACTTTTCACACGTTACCACCCACTAATTGAACTTAAAAATGTTACTGTTAAGATTTGGGGTCCATCTTAATAAGGTCAACCTTATTAAGAGGAGTGTCACAATCCTTTATATATTGGTCATTGTTTCGGTATTTTACCGATGTGGGATTATATTCCCTTAACATGCCCTCGCAAGATGGTGGCTCGTTTGAGCAGACCAATCTTGAAATCCGTGTGCTCATTTTTAGAGACTTAATCGGATCAAATCGTTCGTTGGAGCTTAATGAGCTCTGATGCCATGTTAAAATTTGGGGTCCATCTTAATAAGGTCAACCTTATTAAGAGGAGTGTCCCAATCCTTTATATATTGATCATTGTTTCGTTATTTTACCGATGTGGGATTATATTCCCTTAACATTTACTCAATGGTTACTCTCCTATTTAGCCTCTGTTTGGGCCATATTCTTGACAAAATGAGAATGAGAAATTGTGTTATTGTGGGCCTATACAAGACACATCAACTGAACAATTGTGGGTTGGATTTGACAAACAACGATAAGAATTCTTCTATTTCTTGAGAAAAAAAAAAGGAAGGCCTCCCGGTCCCTTAATTTGTAACCTATCCATAATGCAAATCCATTGCCCCCAACTTGACAAAAAAGTATAATGTGGTCACGTTAATTACACGTGACAACTTGATCACGTCAAATTCTCCACTTCGGTAATACGCAACCCAACTTAATGAATGTGGTCCATCATGTTTGAACAAGGTTTTTTCTTTTTTCTTTTATATAATATTAAAATATATTCTCTAAATTAAAAATATAATCAACCAAAACAAAACACCCAATATTGAAACTTAAGTATTATGCCCCTGTGGCGAAGCTACCAGGTCATCAAACATAGGCTACACTTCGAAACGCCTAACGTCAACATGAAGTGAGGCAGAATATGAGGCGGATAGCGTCGTCTGAAGTGGTGCAAACATACTCCGAGCCGCAACACCTAGAAGCCTCGGCACAAGATAACACCTAGAAGCCTCGGCACAAGATACGGATTTTTTGGACAATGATCTATCCAAAATAAAATCTTATAAATGATGAATATGACATCTCTACAGCAGATGTCAACGTGTCAACTCCAATTCAGAAACATTAAATGCGCGTCCACCTATAGAGTGATAGATGGACACTTATGAGAAGACACTTCAGATTGGCTGGTGAAGCCATGTATTCTCCATCCAACGGTTCTCTTTCTACCCTTCTCTCTATAAATACCTAAGATCTAAACCATTGTAAGGTAGGTAATTCTACAATCCAAGTCCCCCTTTTCTCCTCCCCTTTTGAGATAAGTTAAATAGGTCCAGTGGTCTTTGCTACCGGAACCATTTGTTCAGTATGCCACATACTGCTGACCATTTGTCCCAAGTGTGCAAGGAGGAATACATATGGAGTTACTCTTCTTTGACCATGTGAAAGGTTCATTTTTGGGGTCAACATTGAACATGTGCAAAACCTATATCTTGACTACAAAATGTAAAATTCCTCAGCTACGTCCCATAATTTTCAACACAATTTATGTCATTGTAGACATTTATGTTACGAAGCTATCGTGGACTAAAAACAGTCCAGGAAAAATTGTTTAGAGGGGTAATATTCTATGAATGAATTGATGTATGAGACTACTTTGTGTGGGTGAATCCATTTCACATCCTCAGAATTGCCCTTTGTGGGCTTGAGATTGACTACCGTCTAAAACAAGTACATAGCTAGAAAGTTTATAAATTTTTAAATCCCTATTTATTAAAACAATATAGGTTTTGAGGGTATTTGGTGGTGATTAAAATTATATTTTTTAGTAGATTGTGATAAAAGTTTTTGAAATGTGTAGTTGAAAAGTTATGGAACTCATGAAAGAGTAGTTAATATTGATTATTTAATTTTGACTTAGATTAAAATCAGATTTTAATCCAAACCAAACGCGCATTTTGTTTGAGCCTTATTTTTTGGGCTGATAGAGTTTGTGATAGTAATTTTTTTTGAGAATATGTGTTATTTTTTTTTATTGAAAAATGTGATTGAAAATAAATATGAAGATAAATGAATTTTTTAAAGAATGTGGCTCAGATAAAAAAAATTTGTTTATCAAAAAATTAAAATATTATGAGATTTGTCACGCATGCCCAGGAGTTTGTGGACCTCACCTGTATACGCTGCGTTCAACGCAGATGTGAAATTTAAACGATCAAATATGACCGTTGCAGATGTGCAGAAGACAACAAAAAATTCTCTCTCTATTCTTTATATAAAAATCAAATCATAGTATGTCTGTGTGCGTGGGTGTGAGAGTTTTTCTTTAAATTTTGCAATGGCGATAGAAACGGAGACTCAACAAGAACACAAGGTAAAAAAGAGAAATGAATATTTTCTTTCTCGTAATTGCTTGCAAATAACGAGTTTGTTTTGGATAAATTTGATTATTATAAATGAAGAATTACAGGATTTTGTATTGTTCTGTTATTTCGTGTTTTGATTTTGCCTCGAACGTGGGATTTCATTTTTTTCCCCGAGTATATATATTATCGAGGTAAAGTTTGGGTAATGCCCTATCTTATTTCATAATTGGAATCAAGTTTTGGGGGATAGGGATTTGATTTAGATGTTAGTTGTGTGGTATAATAATATTACTCCATGCAATCGAATTTTGGGCTAGATAGAAGGATGCCTTATCAGCGAGAAATTTGTGTGGTTGTGCCCTTAAATTGGAAACTGTAGGCAAGCAATTCAAATTGGTGGCATACCTGTTGTACTTCTCAAGATCCAAATTCCATGATAGGGTTCTAGACAGCCATTTTCTTTTGAGGAAGAATTATTGTTTCATGATAGGGTGGGTTTTTTTTTTTTTTTTTTTTTTTTTTTTCCCCTCTTAAAAAAAAAAAAAAAAAAACAAAATTTTT